CTCGCCGGCAGGCTGGCGCACACATGTGGACGATGGAAGGAAAGCCGGGGCCGGGAGGGTGTGGGGCGCTGTACCAGAGAGGCAGCGAGTTGAGAGAATCCAGCCTCCTGGCCTGAAATGACGAGCGGGGATCAGCACACAGGGAGGGCAGCTTCGGAACAAGTGCTGAGCTTAGGAATTTAAACCACCCGGACCGGAGTGTGCGCTGTGGGCTCCTGCTAACAACCAACAGGAGGAGGGAACAGTGGATGGGGAAGAAAAGAAGAAAAACACCAAAATAGCTCGTAAGGACTTCACAGTTAACAACCTGTCACTTCACTCTCCTCTGTGGAGCCCTTCCTCCGCCCCGACAGGTGCCTCAGTGTGATTTGTAGAGAGCCCGACAGGTGAAACTGACGCCCGGCAGGAAAAGCGATCATTTCCGCAGTGTGGCAGATGCGCACATATTAATACGAACCTAGGGACGAGACCAAAACTCTTCAAAATGACACACACTGTAATGGCCCGGGGTGTTCTCACATTCACCCCTGTCCTGCAGGACTGGCTCGGCTGCCATGTGGCTCCCGGTGCTGCTGGGGGAAGGTCACACGTGTCAGGTTTCGCAGGTGACTTGCCCTGACCCATGCAATGTGATTACAAGCCAAGTGAACCGTGTCCAAGCGAAAGGTTTGGGCATCACCGCATGCGTGGGCTCCCTCTGCCTGGGAACCGGATGTGCCTTCCCCAGTGAAATAATTCACTGATAAGTAGTCAAGTTCCCGACTCCCCCCAGGAACATGTGACCACGGCAGGGCTGGAATTTCAAACTTCATGGGACCATGGGCTAGTATTTTTACGTCCGTGTAAACTTCACCTACTGAAAGTCACATACCTACCTTACTAGATGATAACATGAAAAGACAGATCTGCAAGCTAGTGAACAGATGTTTTTATGGTATTACTGAAGAACATCACTAGCCAATTGCACCTTACTCTTCTATAAAAGCCTAGAAAATATTGCAGCAATCTACTTGGGTAAATCTGAGAAGAAATAAATAGAAAAGACACAGAATTGGAGGCAACTTTAATTTGGGGCTATGTGGATGTTCCCTTTTGTTGGGTCCCTGGCTGCATGGCCGGACCCGTGGGCCCAGGAATTCTGTGTCTCCCTAGTGACAAGCCTGTGGACCCTGGAGGCTGGAGGACCGTGGGGAAAGCCCTATCCGTGCCCAGCAACACCCAGATCGCTGCTCTATTTGGAGACTCTCCCACGAACCCCCAGCTCCGCCATACTGTTACGTGGCCAGAGGAGGCTCCTGGAAACCTGCCCCAGTCTCGGGTCCCACTTGAGGTGGAGCCGGGAGGGCAAACGCAAGGGACTCAGACAGGCCTCCTGGGGCGGGGTTCCACACTCACTGCGGAACTGCGGCGGCGCTGGGTCCACACCAGGAGCTCCACCCAGCCCGGTTCCTTTCCACTCACTCAGACCATCGCTCCCTACAGCCCAGCACCCCCAGTGGGGTGAGCGGGACCCGGCCAACTTTCCACATGCTGCTCTTTCTGAGAACACCAAGCCACCTTTCATTTATGTTGAAAATGTTTTGCAAAAAAGTCCCAGGCAAGAGTAAGGAACATATATCTTTAAGAACATGCGATGTGACACTCTCTTTGAGTTTCAACCCAAAGTGGCCTAATTCTGTATTTAAACAGTTTTCTATCACAAAGGATGAGAAAGTTTCGAAAGCCTACCAAACACGGAGGTCAAATATTTTTTCAAATGTCACATACACATTTTTCCTTCAGTGTGATCAAATTAACCTTTAGTAAGAATTATTAACCTTTAGTAAGAATCACCCACTTCTCATGGAGCTTAAGGATTCTTTCGGTTCGTTTTAAGCCCCATCTTTCATTCTGAGAGTGTTCTGGTTACTTGGAAATTGTGCTCAGGGGTCTAAACACACAGGTCACCTGACCGCTCTGAAATGCGGGCAGGTGGGGAGGACAGTTTGCCCGAGAGAACCTTCTGCAATAATGCGGACACTCAAATCATCATTTCCAAAGCAAATTTCCTCAAATTAAATAAATTGCCAAACGAGAAATATAACCGCGTCTCCAAAAAGAAGTTCCAACCCTCTGCCAAAACAGACTTCGAATTCTTAATCCCTCGTCCAAAAAAAATTGGACCGGGTACTGACATTTTCTACCAAGAAAGCCACACAGCCACAAATGGTTCTCATTTTCTCCACTCTCGGGACTTGCAGCTCAAATAAAAAATTTCCTGAATGCCCCAAATTTCAGATGCAATTTGGAATGCGAGGGATTCGGAATGTCACTCGGGACACATCACGCTCCCCTCCCACCAGTGCAGAGCGCCCGGGTGCCCTGCTCAGGGGGGTGGCCCATTGGGAGGGCTGACTGGAGTGGCCTCGCCACAACTCACTCTGCCCCCAGGGCAGATGTCAGTTGGAACCCTGAGCCATCTACGACTCCAGCTACTGTTCAGGTAGGACAAACGTGACCTCGGGGAGCTGGCAGAGATCCACGGTGGCCTCCCTGGTCACGGCACGCACCACCCCCTGTAGTAAGGGGCAGTGTGGAGAGAGAAGGAAGGAAGGCCCTGTCGTCCCCTCCACACCAGAGGTGTCCAGGGGCCCGTGAGCACTCCCCGCTGATTCTAATTAGACTCCAGGGGGACACCTCCCGGAGCCTCTGGCCGGCTTGAGTTCCACGGGAGTCCCGCTGCACCTCAGCCCTCAGCAGGGCAAGCAGGAAAACACCGAGGTGGCCAGAGCCGTCTTCCCCGGATTCGGGGCTTCTTTGAGGACAGAAACACAGTGTGGCCCTGGGTGGGCCTCAAAGACGGAGGCTACTCAGGAGGCGAGGCCTTCAGGAGGCTCCGGCCTCATGGGATGGATGAAAAGAGCACAGCGGGCAAAGGCAGGAGCAGAAGGTGGAGAGAGCGGTACTGACGAGCATTCAGCTGCAGGCACAATGGGGACGGGGACGAGGCTGGCCCGAGAGACGCTGGGGCAGAGCTCCAAGCCCGGCTCAGCCCCTGCCGGGCCGGGGGGCAGCGGGAACAGCTGCGGAGGGGACTGGGACAGGGAAAGGGTCTTCGGCTGAAGGAGTTTGAGGAAAGCTTAAAATCACGATGTAAGCTAGTTTGAAAAGAATACTATTTCTGAAAACCCCACAGGAAAGAACCTACCAAAGAGCAGTTTAGCAAGAATGTCATAATTCTATAGGCAATTGTGAAATGAGTAAGTCTAGCAAGACACACAGCCTGAGCCTGTAAATGAAAATTATAACCGGACTGAGGTCTTCGAGATGAGTTTGCCTCAGGAAACTATGAAAACATGTAAGATGCTTCATAATGTCTACACATGAACAAATAGATCCGTTTACATTTGGGGCTGGATCAGCTGGACTGGCGCATATCATAAATAACTTTAAAAGTGGTTTGAATATACTTGGCAGTCACAAGATGCAATTCTCCATCCAACCCAACCCTTTGGAAAGAATCGCCTCTCATCTTTCATATAAAAAAGACAGTAATCATATTGGTTATGCAATACTTATTTGCACTGAAAAAAATGTGGACGGCTAAGGACATCAGGACATTCTCAATGACAGGCCCCTCCTGGTTCCTTTAAATCCCAATTCTGTGCATTTTTCCTCTCGCCGCTGTTGGTTTTTACACTTGTAATTGAGCTACATTAGCACAGCACTCAGTAAATACGAAACTCTGAGTTTTCATCAATAAATGCAGGTGGAGCTTCCAGAGCGTCGCCTGGGGTCAATGCTCTAAAAAACGCCACCTCCCTTATTCTCTCCCCTCCTCTGCAGCTCAGAATCCAGGAGCTACTGCGACTGTTCAGTTTCTCAGCAGACATACTACTTCTTTATTCTCTTAATCATCTGTTTAATGAGTTTCAATGACAGAGCCCCTCTGAAAGTTTCTTGCCTTAACTGCTGTCCTTCCTTTAGCTCCCACAGAGGGTGCCCCCAACCGGGCCCGTAGCTGGTCCCGGGGCCAGCGGCGTGTTCGGCACCAGATCCGGCCGCAGGCGCACAGGATTCAAAAGTAGGGCTCCCACCCGGGATGGTTCATTTTACATGTCCACTTGACTGGACCACCGGGTGCCCAGATAGCTGTCCAAACCGTATGGTGCGTGTTTCTGTGTGGACACTTTTGCACAAGATGAACGTTTAAATATGGACGTGAGCAAAGCAGACGGCCCTGCGCAGCGTAGGCGGGCCTCCTCCAGTCCATGAACGGCCTGGATGGGACAAAAGGCTGGTCCCCCCCCAAAGAAGGAGCATTGTCCCGCCTGGTGGCCTTCCCACCAGAGCATCTGCTCTTCTGGTCTGAAGGCCTTGGGGTGCAGCTTCGGCTCCTGCCGGCAGTGGAGCCGCCCACGGCCTCGGGGCCCACAGTGGGGCACTGGCCCGGCAGAGGCCGCTCCCGCCAGCTTCCCTAACTGCCTGAGCCAGGGCCTCACAGCGCATCTGTGTGTCTCTCCATCCCTAGGTGGGTGGGCGGGTGGACGGACAGACAGACAGATAGACACAGTCCCTATTGGCTCTGCTCCTTTGGAGAACCCTAACACCCTATCCCTAAGAAGTTCAAAGTCTAGTTGTGGGGACACACCCGAGTAAACTTTGCCCAGAACACCTTTTCCAAACAATAATACAGAATATGGTGCCATCAGCTGGATAAGCCATCCACTTTTTAAAAAAACTACCAATACACATTCACAAAATGAATTAAAAGCACTCAGCAGCATGATCTGCGAAAGACGTATCAGCCCCTGTGATTCATCGCGCCCTGAATTCTCATAAAGCGAGTGACCCTGTGCCCACTCACCACCCAGCCCGCCCTTTCCTGCCTGTGCCCACAAGATGGGATTTCTCCGCTTTGAAGCAGGTCATTGGGAAATCCACCAAAAACACGGGGCACGGCTATCACAGGTTCACGCCCCTCCCAGCGCTCAGGACAGAGGAGAAGCCACTCCGCTCACTTGAATGGCAGCCAGGTTCTTCTGCTCCTGCGACGGGGCCTCGTGCACGAAGCGAAGCCAGTTGGAGTGCCGCGGGTTGGTGGCATCCAGCACGTACAGGACCTCCCCCTTACTCCCGCGCACCTGCAACACAAAAGGCTGGAGGTTACCCGCACGGTCCGTATAAGCCATTTGAAAAACATCAAGGTCAGAGCACAGTGTTTTTCCTAAGTATATACCGTGCCCGCTAACAGGTGTGGGGTAGGTGCTGGATTAGCACCCTTCTATCTGCCCAGAGAAGACACCCGGACAGAGCCTCCCGTTTCACTGGGCTGCTGTCTAGACAACTCACAATCGCAGTCAACTCTCAGAAACCCCCTGCGCTGAGAGCTCTCCCTTTATTTACTCGTAGGTAGATCTTAACGCATGTGTCGCGAGTGCAGTTGTTGAGGGGGACACCCCCCCCGGCTGCAGCCCCTCCTCTGTGTCCCACGGAAGGGGACAGTGCAGCGTGGCTCCCCAGCTGGGGGCCGAGGGGTGGGATGACCCCCTTACTTTCTCTCTCCCCCTGCTTCCTGAATCCCTTTGCCACGAGGAGGACATGCCGACTTAACCAGGGGACCTGACCCCCACTGCCCCTCATGTCACAGCTTTAAGGAGCAGGGGAACAACCCGAGTTCCATTCCGTCTCTCCTCGGCTTGCTCACGGCTTGCTATGAAGGACAGTGGGCTGTCTGGGTTCGGTTTCACGCCGTGAGCTGCCCAGGTCAGATCCGCCCAGCTCTCCAGTGGAGGGAGTGGGGAGCCGCCAAGACAGCAGGCAGCCCACCGGCACCCCCAAATCCAAGTTGCTCAAAGCTGGCTTCTCGCACACCCCTGCGCTGTCGGCACGGGGCCCAGGCTCTGCCTCGGAGGACACCACCCATCTGTGCCGAGCTCCTTCCCTGTGGGGGTGCAACTGCAGCCCAGGGGAGGAGGGGCGGGAGGAGTGGGCAGCTAACCCCTCGTTTCGTGGGGAGCTTCCAGGTCTCCAACACCGAGCAACACGAAGAGAAAGACTGTAAATTCTCCTCCGCAGACTTGGGGTAGGAAAAACAAATTCCAGATTTCTGAAATCTTATCCTATAAGATAAAGCACAACCAGCCCAGTACATGTATTTTCATGATACATTTAGACTATCACTCGTTCATCATTTGACAAATATTTGAGTGTCTACCGTGGGCCAGGAACTTGCTTACGACCCAGACTCTCTCGGCGAACAAGGCAGGTGAAGCCCGAGGTCCCAGCACCTGAGTGAGGAGCACAGGACACGGCCTCGGGTACAGAGAAGCGCTTGCCGACCAACACAGCAAAGCAGGAGGGCACGGCAGGGGGCTGGGGGGACACAGCGCTGCCGGGGGAGGCGGCCAGGCAGAGCCCCTCGGAGCAGGCGCCCGAGGAGAGTTCTGCAGGAAGGGGACGTTCAGGGGAGTGAGGGGAGCAGTGGGCGGGCAGAGGGGGCAGCAGTCGGAGGCGGTAGACAGGCCCTGGGTCGGAAACAACTCAGGTCCTTTGGGAGAAGAGCAGGAGGCCGTGGCCAGAACGGAAGGAGCTGCAGAGAAAGCGGCAGGCGTGAGAGCAGACAGGCCGGCGGAGGCCAGGCTGTGGCCGGTCGCAGACCGTTGCTGGGGTCCCTTCCAGCCTTAGACTATCTGCGCGTGGGACTGGCACCTTCCTGCCTGACCACGATGGCCTCCTTCTGGAAACACCTCGCAGAGGCAGCCAGAGGAAACCCAACCCAGCCTTTCTCTTTACAGAAAAACCAAACGCAACACTCCAGACAGATGGCTGTTATTAAAGTCTCCATCTATCTATTTCCATGCGATACCAAACCCTGAGGTAATAAATGGAACATTTTGAAAGTCCCACAAAGAAAGAAGATTCGGAATTCCTCTTAGTATCCCGTTCCAGCATCTGACTAACCTCTGCAGCCAGGGTCTATTTTTGTGCCGGTCGGAGTTCATCTTCCAAACACTGTCCTCAGAAACGCAATGTGCTGGTCAGTGTCCTGCTGGGGACCTGGGGACCGTCCTCTGCCCGCCAGCGCTGGTGGCGAGGTCAACACGCTCCTCCTGCCTCAAACCCACCCACAGCCCGACTCCGTCTCACGGGCCAGCTCAGGTGGGGCAGCAGAAGGAGCCCGAGGGGTGGCGAGCCTTCGTGGGTCAGCACGGCCCTGCACCTGGCTGCACCTTCACCACTTCAAAAACGCAGTCATCGCTGTCCCGGACCTCGGCAGGCCCCCGTTTCTGTCGAATGCCGCCGACGTCACCTCTCGGGCACCCAGGACGGGTGGTGTCTGGGCCTGTCCCTTTCCAGTCCAAAGATGACTAGAGCTGACCCTGTGCCACTGCCGACTTCATCCTCCTGACCAGCAATGGACAGGAAAACGGTGAAAAGGTGCGGCTCGGTAAGAGAGCACCCCACCAGGCACACGGGGGGCAGGAAATCGGGGATCCACAGAGCCTCAGACACGCAGAGCTTCGATCGGCAACAGGCAGAGAAGCGCGTTCATTCTTTGGGTGGTTGATTTTCACAGAAGTACGATGTTACTTTAATATTTCCCCCCATTATTTTGAACGCCTCAGACGTTTGCACTGACGACCCACCAGCCATCAGGGGCCCCAGGGCAAAGCCACCAGACAGGTCTGTGCCCAGACGTGGGGAAACGTCACCAGGAGAACGTGACCTCACGTACAGGGAAGCTGCTGCAGACTCAGATCCCCAAACAGAGCGACGATGCCTCCAGAAGCCACAAAGCGTCACGCTGTACGACTTACTTACCAGGGAAACGTGCCCTCTGTGCCCACAGGCTCTTCAAAGAAGGCCATTTCCAGCCCTGAGATTCGAAGGGCGGCCAGCTTCAGGGCACGAAGCGCCGTTTTCTCCTGGAAACTACGGGCATTCTCACCGCCCCTGTTTGGGAGGAGGCCGGGTGCCTGCACCCACCACGGCGCCGACCACACTTCGGGGCACCTCCAGGAGCGCGAGAACCCGGGGGCACTCAGGTCACAGGTTCTGACCCGCGCTGTGGTCACGTCTGAACTAAAGAGACGCACGTCCAGCCACCAGCCAGGGCCGTCTCTAGGAAGCTGTTGTGATGGATCGTTTCTAAGCAAAGGGTGTGACTTTATTCCTGCTGATTTTTCAGAGGATTCTGTCTAAAACTCACGCTCACCTTGGTGCGTACAAACAGGTACACACTGAGCGTGTCCGCCTTATCCCCCCCAGCTCACCCCCCACACCAACTAACAGTCCCGGCCCGTGGATGCCCTGTCACCAGATGGGAAAGCAGATGGAGAGAGGACACAGGCTTGCATGGGTCCTGGTGTCTCCTGAACAGCCACCAGAATGTAATACGCACAAAACCAAATGCCTTAAAAAGCCTGGTGAGAAAAACAAATTTTTTTTTCATTACGACCATCAGTGCCCTGCATGTTTTGGGCTGAAAGGAACCCCCGCCGGCCCACCAGAGCAGTAAAAATGCCGGGCTAGAACCCAGAAGGCGATGGGCCCTAGCCTGGACCGAGCCGCTGAGGGCGACTGGCTTCCTCTCCCAGGGCCGAGCCGGCTCCCCTGACCTCTCGGGTGGGGGGGACGGCGGCGTCTGCCCTGCGACCTCGCGGGAACCGCTCGTGCCCCACTGCCATGAGGCTTTGCCATCACAAGTACAAGTGAACCGAGGAAACGGCTCCGCAGGCTCACAGACTCCGTAGGGACAAACGCTGCTTCCGATGGCGCAGCTGGGAACACGAGGGCCGTTTTTGTGCCCTGTTGGCGTTTTCGAGGAACGAACCTGACAACATCCTAAACGCCACCGTTCACATCCCGGTGCACAGTCAGAAGGCCTCGGCCTGAACGCCTGACCTCAGGGCGGGTGCCTCTCAGTCGGTGGGCACGCCCTTGGGCTTGGGGACCAGCAACAGCCACCACCTGCGGCTCCAGCCTCCTCCGAGGTTTTCACTTCTCCTCCACGTGGAGCCCTTCCAGTTTCTGAAGGCCAGAGTATGACGTCAAATCGTTAGAAATAGCCGATCGTGTGAAAAACGATGCCAGTCTCCAAGACACCGGAGATCCCGGTTCTGAGGGTATTTTTAAAGGAAGACAGTTGGTGCCCACGCGCCTCTGGGCAAGGGTGACGGGAGCACGCAGGGCCAATGCACCGTCCTCCAGGAGAAGAAGGGAAGCCAAAGTCCGCCTGCGTCTGAGCCTGGTGACTCCCTGAGTTGGGGGTACCTGTCACAGGCAGCCACGGTCCCACCTGGTACCCAAACCAGTGTCAGCCTGGGCTCGCTGCACAGTTACCACCAACAGAACGGCTCAAACAGCACGGTTCTTCCCACGGGTCCGAAGTCTGGGCGGCTGGACGGGCCTCCACTCCGGGGGGCAGGCGAGGCTGTGTGTGCAGGGGCGGCTGCTGCGCCCCGTCCGATGACGGCCCACTCCAGGGGCCCGAAGCTGCCCCTTCCACGTTAGTGGCAGTGATGAAGGAGGCTTCATGCTCCACGTCACGTGGTTGTGTGAGAAATGCAAACGTCTCTCAGTGTGACAGAAACGTACACTTAACATAAGGAATTTCATCTTATGTTCAACAAAGGGAGGAAAAAAGTAGAAAAGGGTCCTATACGTACTCTTTTAAAATTCTAACTGATTCTTTATAATCAGCTTCTTTTACAAAATTTATATATATTTACATATAAATGGAGAAATATGTATATATATTTCTACATTTCCTGTTTCGCCAGTCGTCTCCAAATCTTCCACTGTTTTTGCATTTAGCCTGAGAACATTTTCACTCATGTGTATGAAGACATCAAACCGACACCAAGACATTAACACATAAGGAAACAATGGACTGTAAATATTTTCCTATTACATTTTCACCTCATAAAGGCACAGAGAGCCATTAGCAACACAGATGCAGAGCACAGTGGAGGGAAGGGCGGGGAGCAGGCGCCAACACGCCACAGGTATCAGGTGATGGCGGTTTGAGTTTTTAAGAGCGAGCTTTCCCTAAGAGAGTGTTTTTAATTTTGCAACCAACGACCTTTTCGGATAAGCCTTCTGAAATTACAAAGTGACAAAACCACCATCTGGTCCAGGG